TCTTTCTATCCCGATCCCATTGTTCTCTCTCCCAATTAATTTTTTTTCTTGTTTTTCATATCTATCCCACAATTTAGCATTATATAAGACTATCTCAGAAGAATCTTGGAGGGTGATATATAATTCTTTCTTAAGGTCTATCACATTGTCCATATTAAATAAAGAAAATTATTATAAAAAATAACAAAATATGGAATATATATATGATAAAATATGTGTTAGAGACACTATTACCTTGTAATGACTCTTCAAGTCTAGCTCCGCTATAATTATCTGGTAATGCTATTAAAGAAATTACACTTCCAATATAATTCAACAATAATAGATAATTACTGATTTTTTTAAAAAATTATTGAATATTAAATATGTAATTACCTATGATTACTAATCTTTTTTAACATAAGAAAAATAGGAGTATTTTAGCATTTTCAATAATTTTTGATAATTTTTTATAATTATAAAAAGGATAGAACACATAACTGTAGAATATTATCATGCTGGTACTCCTTATTTATCACCAGAAGCTATTGAGAAAATTATTCAATCTCGAGAGACGGTTAAAAATGCATGCAGGGAAATGGCTTATAAATATAGTACTTCAACTCGTAGAATATATGAAATTTGGAAAAGACATGCTGAAGAAATACCCTTGCGCAAACAGCAACTAATACATAGTGTTGTTTCTTCTGAAATAATATCTGAAAATAATACTTCAGATAAGAAGTCAAAGAAAAAAAAATCAGGATCCGGTACGGAGGCTAGCTTTTCAGCTAATAAGGTTGGTATAACTAATATTCTGATAAAAAAAGTAGATGAAATGGATGACTTACGAGTTAAGCTTGCACAAAATCATAAAGAAAGGGAAGAAGCTAAACGTGAGACGAAAAGGGTCTTAGATTCCAACTAATCTATTTTTGTTTTTTCTAAAGTAGTTTGCAATCTATTGCAAAGCAATGGCTCTTCAAGCCTTCATACCGTTTCAATATCAGATTTGTGATAAGTGCGTAGTTTTTTATTAAGCTCGACTAATTCAGTATTGGATTCGAGTACCTTATATAATAATTTTTCTAACTCCTCATAGTTTATACATTTTTTTTTAGCACCTTTGGTGCTTGCTCTGCTAAAGTCGAATCACCAGAATCTAGGAACAGAGTCCCATTACTTTGTAATAAGCTAAAACCTGCGGGAGCACACCAATTTTCAAATGGTATATTGTTATTCTCATCACTATTGGTCTTTTGTAAAATTTGATCAGATACCAAAGAGTCATCATCTTGAACTACATTTGTGCAATTTACCTCAAGCTTATTCTTTACCTTATCCATATTAATTGGAATGAAATAATCTTTACCGTTGTGGCGCATCTTTATTTTATCATTATTCCAGTCAATAATGCATTCATATTTCTTAAGAAGTCGGTTTGAAAATATTAGCATTGGCTTGGAATGTTTTACGACTACAAAATCCTCATATATAGTACAACTAGGAGTTAGTATTATTAGTAAATTACGAACAATGCCAATAGATTCAATTGGAATAGTAGCAATGCCACTAAGGTCGTATTTTACCGATCTATTAATTTTCCCATTTACTCGCTTAACAATATCTTCTGTTATAATCTCAGTTTCAGCTCCACTATCAAGTATCATTGCTGGAATTTTCAAGCACTTAATTTTGCATGGTATAGTCACAATACCTGTATCAGGTTCTTTCTGACAAACAAAATCAATTTCCATAGGGTTATCCAAAGTCTTATCTTCATCCGAATTGGATATCTCTAGAGCTAGTTCTCGATAATTATTATCTTGAATATGGTATGATTTTTCATTATTAAAATTGAGCTCCTGCAATAATGAAGGTAAAATATCTTTAAGTTCACTTTGGATAATTTTACGAATAGTTT